CTGGACGCCCCCTCCTCCTGCACGCACAGGCGCACACGCGCACAGATACGCGCATGCAAACACACACACACACATGCAAACACACACACACACACACGCACGCACGCACTCGCACTCTCTCCCAGGCTCAGCCACGCTCCCCCAGCAGCGCGGTGCCCCCCCGCCCCGCTCCGGCCCCGTTTTTTTTCCCGCTCCCCCCGCAGCGCGGCACCGAGAGCAGGCCTGCGCCCAAACAGAGCTCCGAGTTCGGCCCGCTCCGAGCCTGTCCGCTTCTCTCCGCGTTCTCACAGCCACATTTACAACTCCGAGGATTTCCATTCCCGCGTTTCCAATTTTTCTTTTTTTTTCTCCCTCCACTCCCTTTTCCCCCTAAGTTTGTAAGCGAAAAAGCCCCCGCACTCACTTCAGCGCCGGACATCCTCTCCAAGTGAACTCGATTCCTCAAAAGCAAAACAGGACCAAACTTCTCGCATCCCCCGGGCCAGCGTCAGAAATCTGCTTTTAATTACCAAAACCCAACTAGCGGCGGTGCTAACTAGCGGGCGATCAAACCGCAATCAAACTTCAATCTCTGAGCAGTTAGCTATAAACTGTCAGCAATTGAAAAGTAAACCCGGTGCACACAAAGGCTCTGTTTAATTTTCTCGTTGTAATGGCTCTAAATGAGGACCCCATCACTATGCAGTTAAGCGGTGTTGCTTGTCCCCCTGAGGCGCTGATCAGTTCTTTTTAATGTGAGAAAACTGGCAGCTCGAAGCCCGTCAATGGAGCTCCCACAACAAAAGTCCTGAAAAGCTGAATGAATTGGGTTTGTAATTACTGCTTCCCTCTCCCCCCTTGCAGCTTATCTCTTATTCATTCAACATATATTATTGTCACCTAATCGCACACTCCCAACATTTTTTTTACTACTACTGCGGACATGTTTGTTGTAGAAATTAAACAAAATAACCCTCCTTCTGCTCCCCCCCCTTCCCCCCCCCCCCCTCCAGCGGTGTCAGGACCCGGCTGGGCCAACGCGCGGCCCGGGGCTCAGCGCTCCTCTCGGGAATCCCGCACGCACTTTAGATTTTCATATTTGAGTTAGCTCGGGATTTAAATAACTGAAGTGTATCTAATCACACCTATCAGCAATGGGCCTCTTTCCTTCGGCGGACCCGCGTTATACATCGCTTCAATCGCGGAGCTATCCGCCCGCTCTGCTCTGCCGCACGTCGGGGCCGAGAAGGCGCTCACCCGGAGGGCCCGGGCCGCAGCGGGGGTCTCCCGGCGTCGGCACCGGCACCGGCACCTCTCCAGGCCGGCACAGCCCCGCGCTCCGAGGCCCGAGATGCTTCTGCAGCCTCTCCTCTCTTCCCCCCCTCGAGAACCGTCGGTCGCAGAAATAAGCGCCGCTATTACAATCGCATCTCCTAACAGTCTAAATAATTAATTGAACCATTGCTCTTTGACCCTCGGAAAGTCCAGTAGGGACCCGTTTGTAGTAATAATACCCCCGAATGAGCCCTTGTCAAATATTCATTTAGTGGTTAATGTGAGCGATGTCCCCCTGGGACGGGCTGTAATACCAGCTTCCAGGCTTTGGCAAGAAACCCCGCTAATCTACCTCTCCAGTTCCGTAAAATATTTTAACACCCCGGCCCTCAAACAGCCGTAAAAAAAATCACAGGGGAAACTCTAATCTCATCCTCAGGCTCATTGCAGCTCTGTGCAACGTTGGCGAAATGTTACACCGACATTCATGGACCACGCATCGCCCTGGGATGGAGCACGCAGCAGTTCCGAGGGGATGCCCGAAAGGGCTCCGAAAACAGAATAAAACCGCAGCCACGGGCTCCGCTATCCCCATCTCAGCTGCAATAAACGCCCGGGATAATGGCTGAGGTGTGAATGGGGTTACTTAATGCGTTGCATTGAAAATTAGCAGGACAATGGCGTTCTTCCAAGTCGCACTTTAAAAATAAAAGCATTCAGCTGGACCTAGAAAATGCTTTGGGTTATCCTCAGTAAACGGATAAATGGATGGATGGATGGATGGATGGATGGATGGATGGATGGATGGATGGATGGATGGATGGATGGGAGGAATCTGCCCAAGGGAGATCAGGTTTCACCAGCATATATTTTACATCATAGTCCGAAATCTAAGCTCAAACAAATTGCCCATATAAAAAGTTGCTGAAAACACTAAGCCTGAATATGTGGTTTAGTGCCTTTGTTTAATGGTATTACCTCGCCTTCTTTATGCGAATTGTAAAAGCACCAACGATTCCAGCTACCCCCCTCGACTATTCCAGTTAGCACTTCAAAAAGGGGCCCGGTTTTATTGCTGTTAATTGGCTAAGATTCGCTCTAAAAAAATGGGATCGAGATATCGATTGGGCTTTTATTCCCAGTCCCCTTTTCTCAGCGAGGGGAGCGGAGCGGGACTGCGCGCTCACTACCACGTGAATAATCCCCAGTTGCATTACAAACGCCGCACAGCTCTGAAAAAAAATATTTTACTCGTTGCATTAATGCAAAAGAAATAGAATAGGTTGGGAATGTGCAATAATTGCCGTGTGCCCAAACACCGCGACGGCGCGGAAATAAAAGGGACAAAGGGAGCTGAGCTGCAGCACAGTGAGCAGAGGAGCCCCACAGCCCGGCAACGGGAGTTCTCCGGGCACCCGGCTCCAAGTACGGAGGCCGGAGCCGAGCCTGGCGAACAGCGCAACGACACAAACCACAGCGAGCCGGCCAACTCTTCTTTTGTGATTTCTGCCCGCTTTTTTTTTCCCGTTTGTTCCTCCCTGAGCTAAATCGCAATCGGGCGACCGACCAGAAACACGAGAAAGAAAAGCTGAACCACACTCGCACCCGGCCTGTGCCTAAGCAAACCGCCACGTCCGTGCCTCCAAGCACGACAGCCACGAGCAGGACACGCGACCGCTTTGCAATCACGGCCTCCCGCTTCCTCGGGCGCCGCGTTCCTCCCATTCCTACCCGCACCTCCCCACTCGCAGTCCCGATGCGGCCCGCAGACGCGTTGGCAGCGCGGACCCACGCGGGGCCGCCCGGGTGCCAGGGGCAGCGCCGCCGCTCCCCTCTCGCCGCCCCCGGGCCGGGCAGCACCGAGCGGCCCTCGGCGGCGGCGGTTCCGAGCGCACGAAGCAGAACTCTACCTGGCACCGACGGCGGAGATCTCCTCCTACGTGGCGGGCGCCAGCGCTTCTCTTTGGGGCTCGCGACCGGCCGCAGAGATTGTCCGAATTGAGGCTACACCGCGCTGGCAATTTAAGAAATAGGATTCAAGAAAGAGCTGTCATTTCGCGTGCGAGTCTCCGCCGTTCGCCCGTCTCGTTTTGTCCTGCTCGTTTGTGCCGCTTTTCTCGTTCCTTACCTTTGCCCGACCGATCCCCCTCCGCCCCCACCTCTCACCTCCTCCTGCGCTGCCCCGGAGCGAGGAGCGGAAACTTTGGCAAGTGCGGAACAAAGGCAGAGCTCGGGCCCCGCAGCAGCCCCGCAGCCCCGCAGCCCCGCACCGCGCCCCGAAGGCCCGCACGGCTCAGAGGGCACCGCCGGGCGCGTTGGGAGCGCGGATCCCCCGGCAACAAGTGGCCGAGCGGACGGGACCGGGGCCTCCGCTCCGCACCGCCGTGCGTCGAGGACGGCCGTTCCGGTAAAGCGTATCGCGCTGCGACCCTGTCTATCCACACGTATAAAAATATTCATGCCTCGGTATACGGCTGCATTATTTATAACAGTCTGTCGGCCGCGGGGATACCTTCCTCTGATGAATTATTGAAAAATAATAATAATAATTTAAAAAAAAAAAACACAACAACAACAAAAAAAAAGCAGCTTGCGGTACAAAAATAAATCCAACACTCAAACGGAACTTCAGTGTCCATATGTCAAAAATTTATTTATCTCAAACTGTGCATAATGGAGTAAAAACTTAACTTGGATATGTACCTGTTATAAGGATGGTATTAGTTCAAATATATACATGGACTGTCGGCAGACTGATTGCAAATAATACAGAGCCGAATCTTTAAAATACAACTACGGAAACTGAGGAAAAAAAAAAAAAAAAAAGAACTTAAAATATCATCACAATAAATGTACAGAAATATTACAAACCATAAGAAAATATTTCAAACACAGTAATTTCAGGTTGGTGGTTTTTTTTTGTTTGTTTGTTTTTTGTTTTTGTTTTTGTTTTTTTCCCTTTTCTTTGAACGGGATGAAGTCTGGAAACAAAAAAGTTATTATAAATTAACAAACGGCGTGTGAACCTTCATGGCAATTTTTGCTTTTTTAACAAGAAGTAAAAAATAAAATAAAATAAAATAAAAATGTCGTACATCGAAACGTTTGCCCTCACCCAGCAAACCAAGCCCACGGTTCGCCAGTCCCCTTCCTACCGCTTCTGCCTTTTGTACAATTTCTAAAACAATTTCAACGTCCAAATGCTGCACAAGAACTCCCTCTCCTCCCGCAGCTGCCGTCAGCAGAGCTGCCAGGGCCACGGAGCTCCACGGAGAGTCTGTGTGTAAAAAACCACTCGCGAATTCTGGGGTTTGATTTCTCCCCTCTCCCTATGACCGATGGACATTCTGATTGCCATGTTGAGTTTGATAAATACTGTACAAAAGTTGCCTGCAAATATTAAAACATTTCTCCTCTTCGCTCTTTGAGTCTAGCTCTAAATATTAGCGGTAAAGACTTTTGCAAACTTCCTGCAAAGTTCCTACCGTTCTCACTAGAACTTTTAAAAAGTTTTGTGTAGTCGCTTCCCCTCCGAGATCTATACAAGTTCCTTTGTCGGCTTTATTTCTGGCCCCCCTCGCCCCCCCCCTCCCCTCCCCCCCCAGTTTTCTCTGTACAAAAATAGTCCAAAAAAAAAAAAAAAAAAAAAAAAAAAAGTCCAGAATTTCTAATAAAAGTTTTTTGTTGTTGTTGTTTGTTTGTTTTGTTTAGTTCTCCTTCCCCCCACCCCCGCCCCCCCGGCCCCTTTGTCTTACATATGTGATAGAGGGAGTGTGCCATTAATGGCTGTGCCAGGAACAGGTGCACTCTGGTAGTGTTGGGACATATGAAGTCTGCTTGGGGCAGCTGGTTCTGGTACTTCAGCACCTGGTAGATACATGCTGATCATGTCCCGAAGGTCCCCGGCTTGGCAAGGAGCCCTCGAATGAGACGAGGAGGTGACTACGGGGGGACTGGAGCTGGATTCCGTCTTGACCACCGAGCCCATGGAGCCCAGGGCCATGCCCGGGGTCCCTTGCTGGGAGTACGACATGCTGTAGGTAGGCGATCCGTTCATGTACGTCTGCGAGCTGGTCATGGAGTTGTACTGCAGGGCGCTCACGTCGTAGCGGTGCATGGGCTGCATCTGCGCCGCGTTGTGCGCGTTCAAGCCCGGGTGCTGCGGGTAGCCGAGCTGCTCTTGCATCATCCCATAGCCTCCGTTGGTCCAGCCGTTCATGTGCGCATAACTGTCCATCCTCTGGTTCACCCCAGCTCCCAAGGTGGCCCCAACCCCTACCCCGGTCGTCATGGTATTGGTGCCCGGCGCCAGTAAGCCCCCTGGCAACGTGTACTTATCCTTCTTCATCAGGGTCTTGGTTTTCCTCCGGGGTCGGTATTTATAATCCGGGTGCTCCTTCATGTGCAGAGCTCGGAGCCGTTTGGCTTCGTCAATGAAGGGTCTCTTCTCCGCCTCGGATAAAAGTTTCCACTCGGCCCCGAGCCGTTTGCTGATCTCCGAGTTGTGCATCTTCGGGTTCTCCTGGGCCATTTTCCGCCGCTGCCCGCGGGACCAAACCATGAAGGCGTTCATGGGGCGCTTGACCCGGTCCGGGCTGTTCTTCTGGTTGTTCGCGGCCGAGTTGGAGTTGCCTGTGCCTCCCCCCGAAGTTTGCTGGGGGGCGGGAGGTTTCAGCTCGGTTTCCATCATGTTGTACATTCAAACTACTTTTGCCTGGAACCAGCCCGGAGCGGAGAAGCAGAGCGGCGGCGGCGAAGTCCCGAGCCGGACTTTTTTTTTTTTTTTTTTTCCTAGGGAGGGGTATGAAAGGGGGGAGGGGGACTCCCCAAAACCACACTTGGATCGAGATCAGAATCTTCCTCTTCGCTGATGGATTAATAATGCTAATAACTGCTATTATTACCGCCGGAGCTTCGGATTTAAAAAACTTCTTCCTCCTTTTTCCCTTTTCTCTGCCTGCCGCCCTCTCTCTCTCTCCCTCTCTCTCTCTCTCCACCTCGGTCTTAAAGAGCCAGCAAACTACTTTACCCCCTTTTGCAAACACACACACTCTCTCTCTCTGCCTTGACAACTCCTGATACTTTTTTGAACAAGTTAATAGACAACCATCCATGTGATGGGGGCTTGTCAGGGAATAAATGCGTTCGCCCCGGCCAATCAGCGCTCGGCGGCTCCGCCACTGAGGACAAGTCTCTACCCCTGGTTTTGCATGAAACGGGGCGGGGGCTCGCAGCCGCCGGGACGGCGCGGCGGGGGGGGCGGGCCCAGGGCCGGCCCAGGCAGCCACTGGGAAGCCTTTGTATCTCCCCTTCCAGCAACAGGTCACACACGCCTTTTGGAGGAAGTGGGTAAACAGCATTGTTGCTACGTTGTTGTTGTTGTTGTTTTTAAAGTTGATGTTGGGAGAAGCCATAGGGGGAGCGGGAATGGCTTCCCCCCGACCCTGCGCCCCGTTGCGAAGTGTCCCCCGAGCCGTCGCCGTCCGGCCGCGTGTGCGGCGCTCGCCCCGTCCGCCGGGAGCGGAGCCCTCCGACCCGGTGCCGCGCCGCGGAGAGGAGCCGAGTGGGCCCCGCGCAGAACGGGGCCGTGCCGTGCCCTTCTCTCTCCCTCCTTCCGACCCGGAGGCGCCCGCTGGAAGCAGGAGCGGAGGACCCCCGACAGCCCTCCCCGCAGATCGCGGTGCGCGGCCTGCAGCCCAGGGACGCGCCCTCTGTGCGACGCTGGGTGGGCGCGCCGGGCGGGGGGGGGGGGGGTTGGGGAGGGGGCGGCCCGCAGGGACAAATAGGTAGTTTTGTTTCTCTTGTTGTCGCTACACGGGGCCGCACAAAGCCCCGGCTAAGTTTACTTCCACTCTCTTGTCGGGATCTTTGTTGCTAAAACGCACTTGACGACAAAGGAAGGAGGGGAGAGAAAGGGGGGCGGGAGAGGGGGCGCTTCCCGGCCCCGCTCTACGCGCGCTGCCGCGCCCCGACGGCGCTGCTTTGCCCGCGGCCGCGCTCCCCGGCAGCGCCGAGGCCCCCCGAGAAGGGCCCCCGAGCGGCGCGGCACCGCGCAGGGCCGGGTTGGGGCCGGGGCAGTGGCCGGGCGCCCCGCGAGGGCTCAGCCGCGGCACTGCGGCGCCCCCTGCCGGCGCGGTGCGGAGCGGCGGGAACCGGGGCGGGGGGAAGGGAGCGGCCGTGCTCCCCCCCCGTCCGGGTAACGCGCAGGAAAAGTGCGGCGGCTGAGGGTGCATCTCTGGATGATGCATATAAATGCTCTCGGCTTTAACGTGTGTAATTCCGAGGCGTATATACAAGCCGGTATATATATAACCTGGACAGAAGCGACGGGTTGAAAGCGTCGGAAAAGGGGCGCGCTTTGCGGGATGCGCACACCGGCTGACCCCGCGCTCCCAGGGCCGCCAAAAGCTTTCTTATCGGTCGTGCCCAGGGCCTGCGGTTGATAACAACATCCAAAATCATAATGATAATAATACAATCTTGGGGATAACGAAGTTTGAAAAGCGGGGAGGAGCGGGCGGCGGTGGTATAATAAGCGGATACCGGAGCGCGGCCCTGTGCGGGGCCGGGCCCCTTCCTCACCACGTTTATCGCACCCATAAAGGGTGGGAAATGCCCAACAACTGCGTTATCGGGCGGTATTTACAGCTTCGTTTGAACTAACCGCTTTAATTATCGATGCCATCAACTATATGTGGAGCATCTGCATCATAACGCGCTCTAGAAAATGGGGTGCGGGCCGTGCGAGCCTGCTGCGCCGGGGGCGGTGGGCGCGCGGATGAACACGGCCGGACCCCGCGGCTCCGCGCACGGCGCTGGGGGAGCAGAACGGGGCTGCTTCAGCACGAGCGGATTTATCAAACGACTCCCTTTGGTATCATTTATGGAGATACGAAGTGGTCGCATTAAGCAAATAGTCCGCAAATGTCCTCGGTGATGGGCTCTGCGGCACGCGCACTCTTATTTCCAGGTTATGCGTTTCTTTAAAAGAAAATGAACGTTAACGACTTGGATTTTGCGTATTTACTGTGCTAATAATCGCCGATTCTCTCTGAGCCCCGAGGATACAGCCTATCGTGTTAACTGTATCGGAAAGAATATACGCATTTTCATATTATTTTTCCGAACCTGCCAGTAACCAATCTAAGCAAACTATTAAGCGGTCTTGTGGAGATGGAAGATTGCAGCTCCATTTTTTGTCCTTAGCTGCAAATAGAGGTTTAACTTGCAGTAATTAGGTGAGAACTAGCCAAGCATCTTACTATTATGATGCTTGTTAAAAACGCTTCTTTTCTGCATCTGCATTTGAGTGTGTTCCCCTCCACTCTTAATCTTCTTATGGAAATGAAGGCGAACGGCAGGGAACCTGCAGAGACTTAGAGAATGTCCTTGTTAACTGGAATTTCTCAGCATTGCTAATTAGCAGAGTTTGACGACCACCAGTATTGGGGAAAGCTCTGTTTAGCCACTCACAAACCCTTCCGAGGAAGAGCAGACTAATTTTATTTTGTAATTAAAATCTGAAAAGGGCCCTATTTGACAGTTAGGGCTATGAGAGTTTTATCTCCCTGTGAAATAATTACTGCCTTGATAACTCAATTTTCCGCAAAATGTCAACTGTGAGCTCCGAAAGTTTTAATTTCATTATGTTTTTAAAAAAAAAAAAAAAAAAGCCGAAGACGAAAATGTACAGAGAAATTTCCTCTCCCCCGTCTCCTTCTGCAGAGCCGAAGTTCCCCGGGCAGTTCCACACACGACCCATGCCCCAAGCCCTGGGGACCTCAGCTATCGAGGGCGGGAGGAACACCCTGAGTGTCCCCTGCAATCTACTGAAACCATTTCGAGTGGGTCCGAGCCCACGGAAGGGCAGGGCAGGGGGGGCTTCCGCCTTCTTCATGCTCCCCAAATGACGAAAACGCCACATTTTCTCCAGGAAATAATTCCACCACGGTGACGGACAGACCCAGAGACAACCTGAGGGCACTTAAAAGAGGGGACAGAAAAAGAGGAAAAAAAAAAAGAAAAAAAACTCCGCCAAACTTCAGAAGTTGGGGCCGAGTTCAGGGCCGGCCCGCACCCCGCCGGGCCCCGCACCCCGCCGGCCCGGGGCCACCCGCTCGGAGCGGCCCGGAGGGCGCGGGCGGCCGCTGGGGGAACGGGGCGGGGAGGGGGGGGGGGGGACCGAGGCGCTGGAGCAAGTGTAATCCACTCTGCTTGCGTTTGGGATATTTTATTATTATTTAAAACGGTTTAATCTGCTTTTTGTCCCTGCCTGTCCAGCAAGTAGCCCGATTGTCGCTCTCAGAAGTGGCATTACACGTACAAACGATCGAGGGGGGTGAGGCACAAACCTGCGTCCAGCCCCAATTTCGCCCAATAATTTCATTCAAGGGCTCTAAGGACCCTTGAAAGCTGGGGAATGCGGAGGGAGCTCCGCGTTGCTCCCGGCGTCGCCTTTCATCCCCCTTCTCCCTAATGGAACAGCCGGGAGAGCACACGTGCGAGCGGCTCGTGGCCCCGCAAGCGCCCCGCGCCGAGCTCCGGGCCCGGCTGCGCTCCGGGGATCGGGGGGTGCCGGCGGTCCGCCCCGAGCCGCTCCGCGACCACCGCCTCCAGCAGCTCTGCTGCTACTTTGAGCGACGTTAAGGGAAAAAAAGCACCAACACAGCGTTTAAAGAAACAAATAAACAAAAAAAAACAATCGAAAAAGAAATAAGAGGGAGCGGCTCCACCTTTCCTCTGTGGGACCACAAGAGAAATTTAAAAAAATAACCGTAAAGCTGAGATGATGGGACGAGTCGAACGTATACAATAAACATCAGCAAAGCCGGCTCACGCACACACACCGGCGCTCCAAGTCGCTTTCAGAAGGCTTCCAGCAAGCGGAGAGGCCGTGTGTCCAAACCTGCTCTGCTCCCAGGGCTCCAGAAACGGCCCTCCAACTCTGGCTGACTCTTCCCCACATCTAAATACCCATCCCCGGCCCTCCATCCTGGAGCAGAGCAGAATGGAAGCCGTTATTATTATTATTTTACACGACCTTAAAAATAAAACAGAAAACCAAGCAGCAGCGGTGTGGCTGAGGTTGGGAATTGCCACATGCCATGGGGTGAGCAGCCCTGGGCTCAGGCCCTGTGCAGGCATGGCACCCCTGAGTGGCCCTTCTGGGCACTCTATTTCAAGTTATCTTTCCTTCCTAGTTTTATAAGAACAAATGAGTTTTCTTTTCCCATTGTAGTTGAATGAACTCATGTATATTAAACACAAAACCCCTCCTGAAGAACGCTAACTGCTTTGCCTAAACCCACAAAGGCACAAAAATCCAGAGCTGAAGGTTTCCAGTTACTGAATAAGTCCCCTCAACTCTCTCAGGCGCGCAGGAAGGAGAGATTGGGACCTTTTTCTGAAAGTTTTAATGCCTGGAAGGGGCCATCTCGCACACAAATCCATTGTCTTTTACCAAAGCTGAGGTTTCTATTTTATTTCCCTCGTTCCCCCTCACCATCTTTCTATTGACTAAAGAAAAAAAAAAAAAAAGGTGTAGAAACGCATCTGTGCATGGGATCACACGTGTCGCCCAAATCAAATGAAGTTCTCTTTGGCCCCGGAGCAGTTTTGATGGAATTATTCCGACTCCTGCATTGAATTCACCACGTTTCCCAAAGAAGCTCTTGCGGATTCAATGGGACCGCCTGAGGAACAGCCTGGGGTGCTTCAAGGTTGCACCTCAAACCCTGGAATCCCGAGGCACGGTTTGAAAAGTACATTAAAAAAAAAAATAAAATAAAGAAAATGAAAGAAAGAAAAAAAGCAATCTCTTCCCAGTGACTCTCAGATCACTGACACCATCGCCCATAATGGAGCCAAGACGGTGACTTTTATCTCGCTGTTCCTCATAGTCCTTAATTTGGAGCTCATTGACAGGACAGACGGTAATGACACTTTCAGAACTGTTATGGTCTGGAGTGACAATCTCTCCATCTCGCCCGTGGTTTATTGACACCATGGGCTCATTGTGACAACTTAGGCTTGCGATTTCAGAATTCTCAAGTGACGGGCTCGTTGGGGGGATTTTAATTCAAATTATAGACTAGCTGTCCATATTGTGAATTCATATTTAGACGACGCTTAATCAGAGCAGAGAGACGGTGTTATAAATAATGCCATCAGTGCTTCCCATGTGCCTATCTGCTGTCCTCCGCCCCAGGATGACCCCAGAGAGCCTTTTCAGGAGGGAGCCCGGCTGCTCCCCGGCATCCCCCAAAGAGCTTAGGCCTGTGTGTGTGGACAAGGAGAGCCTGAAGGGCACATGAAAAATATGAACCCTCAGGGATGGGTTGGGGTGTGACGCTGCAGGGGAATGGGGCTGCTCCCAGCACCCCTCTGCCCTGGATGGGCTTGCGGCGGCCGTGCCTGGGGATGGAGGAGGAGAAAGGGAAGGGAGAGCGAGCAAACCTGCCCTGCATCCCTGTTGCTTTTAGGATTTATTTCCTCCACTCTTCTGCTCCTCGAGAGCTGGAGGAAACGCGGACACATAAAGCCTACTTCCAAAAGACATACATAAAGTAAAACCGCTCTTCACCTCCAAGTGGGGACAAGTGCAGAGCTGCCTCCCCTCCTCCCCCCCCCCGTTGCCAGGTGCGTGCCACCCCCGGCTCCCTCCCGGCTTTAGGACCGACCCGCAGCTGGCACCGAGCAGCCCGGGAAGCGCTCCTGTTTTGGTTACAGCCTCACTCAACGCGCCAACTTCTGCCCCTCGGAGGGGGAACTTTACGAGCCCGTTACAGCCCCCTCAGCACTGCTGTTCTGCTGTTTCCAGGGGAGCCCAGCAGCCCCGCTCCGGGTCCGGGTTAATCATTCACACTGCTGCAGGAGTTACTGCGTTTTTTGCAAAGCCTTCCTGACGTTAGAACGTGTGTACCAACCGCTCTGGATTTTTTCCGTTTCCTGTGGTAATTGACATATAATATCTCTGTTTATAGCTGGCTTGACAGATCCATACAGATGTGTATTTTTGCTTAATTTCAGAGTTATATATACCCAACGCGCGCCGAGGGAAGAAACAGTAAAGGAAATCTGGGAATTCCGTTGTGCAGAAATCTGCGCAGGGCTCTTGCTATTATTTATAGAAGACGCGATGTCTTTATTTTGGGACACATTGGGAGTCTCAAGCTGAGATCAAACCGAGAGAACGGAGCGCGACCAACAGTGATCCTTAAAAACCCCAATTCATACATAATGTCTAAAGAGAAAAGTTTCCTGTGAGACGCACGGCCGTAGGAATCATTTCATAGAAGAAATGCGGCATTAGGACTTTCAATCAGGCTGCCAACAGGAGCGACAAAATCACCCCAATTTAGCAGAAATCATTTGGTTCCCATTAGCGTTCCTCCCCGCACAAATCGCGGTCAGTTAACACCGCACCTCGCAAACACAGCGCAGATGCCTATAAAATAAGTGGCGAATTCATGTCCAAGTTGGCGACAATGCGGCACCTCGCATATTTTGGCTGATGGTTTTGTAACACGCAGCTTTCTTTTAAATCTGTCAACAGAGGGGGAGAAACCCCCGCTCTACGCATTCACTGAAGATAACGCTTCTCCTTTTCCAGGAATCGGGGGAGGGGGGATTATTTTGCTCTTTTTTTGGAAGGGAGGAGGAAGACGACTTCATCGCTTCGCCTTAAAATACGATATTTGCGAACATTCTGCCTTAATGAAACGGAACCGCCGAGCTCTGCTCGCAAGTAACACCTGTCAGTGCGACTTAGCGCCGGCGCCTCGGGGGGAAATCACAACCACTGCATCCGGAAGGCTGCAGCGTCCCGACAGCAACGGGAGCTGGGACGAGGGATTCGCCCAGTGCCAGCCGCTACCGCGGCGCTTAGAGCGCGGGCTGTCGGCGCGGTCCCGCAGCAGCAGCACACTGGCCGGGCGACAGCGGCATACGGGGACACTTCTCCAGGGACGGGGCTTTCGGCAGCTCCGCTCACACGTTATGTCTATTGACCGTACATCCACACAGCTCAAGCTGGAGGAGGCTTCCCTTCCCGTGATTTCCGGGCTCTGTCTCACCTTGCCCATCCCCACCTCCCCACCCAGCACCGCCGGCCCGGGGGGCTCCGCTCCGCTCCCCGCCGAGCCGCGGTTTCTCCGCCGGGTCCCCGCGGGCGGCTCCGGGCGCAGCCGATAGGGGGCGCCGCAACCCGCGCTCAGCGCCGCCTCCCGCCCGGCGCGGCCCCGGAAGAGGGGGAGAGCCCGGAGCGGAGCGGGGTCGAGTGCGGATCTTCAGGCTCGGCAGATAAAAGAGATTAAAGGCTAAATTCTCTCGCACTCTTTTTTTTTTTTTTTTTTTTTTTTTGGTAGCAATTTTAACCAACCACGAAAACGCAGAGCTTTTATCCTTTGATGTGTCTCAGAAAGAAACTGTTACATCAGTTGTGAAATTACATCGTTTCGGAGCCGGCCGTGGAGTGGGAAAATAATTTAATTAAAAATAATCATAATACGAAGACCCGAGCTTCCGCTGAGGCACTTAACGGCTGACACAAACCCTCCGTCTCGTCTCTCCCAGCGCTCCCGATGCCGTTGCACGGGAGGCATTAAACCCACATAACCCGGCGGGTCGGGGCTGTCCCCTCGGGGCCGCACAAAGCAGTGCTCGCCCCGCGGCACACGGTGCTCTCTGACCACATTAAGCAGAACTAAAATGGTACCCGGCTGCCCACTTTCCCCCCGCTACAAAAACTCTTCACCTGTATTTAAATAGCACGTCTTTAATTACAGCGGTTGGGGATGTATGAGGCTGAAATGAAATTAGCAGTCATTACCAGTCCTTTAACTCCGTGGTGCTTTTGATCAGCACTAAATTAGCTTTCCAGGCCTAACAAAGGCTCTATAGCAAGCAGTGGGCTGTAAATAAGACAGCTCGACCTGCCCTCAACACCTTTTCTCTTGTCAATCACAGCTCTATCATTCAGCCCAAGATTAACCTTTATCTACCAAATTCTTACCCCAAAAATCAGAGGAGGGGGCGGAAGGGGGAAAGGGGGAAAACCCAACCTTAACTTTGCTACCTGTAACTAAAAAGAGCCTCCCTTTAAGCGGCATTATAATGACCCAAAATGTCAAAATCGATCATTCCCAGCCCAAATCGCAGTGCACCAGGAGGCAGCGAAAGGCGCAGGCAGTGACACGCATCGATTGACTCGCAACTTCCCCTTCGCCCATCGAGGGTTCTGCCAAGGGACGCCCCGCGTCTCTTCCGTCGTCCACGTACCCCGTCTCCCAGCGCACGGTTCTGCACGGATCCCCGCGCGGCCGCAGACCCCCCGGCGTCCCCCCTTTCCCCGGGAGCGGCCCCGGAGCCGCCGCGCAGGAGGGGAGCGGCGGGAGGGTGCGGGCCGCGCGCCGCCGGCAGGGGGCGCCAAAGCGCAGGCGCCGCAGGCGCCGCGCCAGCGCCGCTGCGCGCCCGTTGCGCGCCCAGGTAACCCCTGCAGCGCGGCCGCCCCCGGCCCCGCGGAGCGCCTCGGCCGCCTCCCGGACGGCGCAGAGCAGCGCCGGCGTGACTCAAACGACTGCCGCCCCGCAGCGCAACCCGCCCCCGCTCTGCGGTTCGTCCCGAGGGGCACCGCCGAAATAGCAGCCCTGGCCGAAGCGGCCCGCGGGGACCCCTCGGTCCGTACGCGCCGGCGTAGGGGCGGGCGGCGCGGGGCGGCCTCGGGCGGCTCCGCTCCTGCCCGGCGCTCCGGTCGCAAAGCGGCTGCCGCGCAGTTGAGGGCAAACCCAAACCCGCGCACGAGTCCCTCAGTGTAACGCCGTCGAGCTCGGAGCGGCGGGTGCTAAGCGGCAGCCGTATTTCTCCATCGTTTTAAAGGTCACGGGGGAGGAAGGGGGAACGCCATGAATGTCAAAGTTGTGGTGCAGTACTTACATGTCGGTGCCGGCGCAGGGTGGTGGCGGTTAGCGGTTTGATTGGCAGCTTAGAGCGAAAGTCCGCGCGGACTCCTGAGCCCGAGTCAGCCGCGGGGCTGGGAGCACTTCTCACCGGACAGAGGCAGCTGCAGGCAGCCCGCACGTCCCCGCTCCTCTCCTCCTCCAGCCAGGACGGAGAATGAATCCATTTCGGCTTTTCTTCCCCCGGCTCTCCTTCCGTTTGCCTACACATCCTCCAAGTCCTAGCCCTAGCTTTTAACTGCGGTCCCTGGAACAAGAGGGGAAAAAATCGTTTATGGCTTAAAAAATCCAAATGGCTGATTTTGTGTGTGTTATAAGAATGCACCCACGACAACAAAAAAGTCACTTCTCTGTCCCCCACCGTACAGCAGAAGAATAATAAAAAAGCTTTATATTTTTGCAGTGGGTATTCAAAGATAATTTGATGCCATTGTTTCTGCTACAGATGGTTCTTTTTAATACAATAACACTGCTCTTTGTGCATACTACACACAATAAAAATCGAAAGCGTTCTCTTGAATAACCATTTTGTTCTCGCTTGTATACAGGCCAACAAAAGCTGCCGTGAGGTAATGGGTTCTGTTTATTGAAGCCATAGAATAGAGGTTTGATAAAGATTTTTGTATATAGGGAGGAAAAAAAAATTAAAATGAAGACCTCGCAAGGTCGAGCCGATCCCCGCGTATTTACTACTACTGAAATATTTTATCAATATATTTCTTTGACTTGCAGCTGCAGGGTTCCCCCCAACCTCCCCCCACCCTCAGCTCAGCCCAAACATTTGTTTCTCCGAACGTGGGGAGCTCCGCAGCCGCAGCGGCCCCTCCGACCCGGACCGTGGGGCAGAGGAGCCGCGAGAAGCGGGGCCGAGTAGCGCGGGTGCGCATCTCTGCGCGCGTTGTTCGGCGAGCTGCCGTCCCCCCGCAGCCCGGGAGCGGCTCCCGGCGTGGGAACGGGGCCGACCTCGTTCCGTCGGTTCCCCGCTCGTCCCCGCACGCCGGGAGCCGCAACGACCTGCGGCCGCCGAGCCGCGGCCCCGGTGCGCGCCGTGCGGGTGGAGGCAGCGAAGTGCAGCGGAGTTCTCGTGCCCCGCCAACTTTGCGCCGAGAAACGAATACACGGGAAGCGCTCCCAGGGAAAATGGATAGCGCGGAACCGGCGAGAAGCGCAGCTGGGAAATGCCTTCCCCGGGTCCGGAATCGCGCGCCCAAAGCGCTGCCCGCTGCCCGCTTCTCAATGCGGTTGAGACTGTAGCGAGCAGAGGAGAGCCCCGAAGCCAAAGAAAGTGCTTAGACAATGGGGCTCTGCGGGAAAGTTGTTAGGCAGTGCCTGTGTTTGTCTACCTTTCTATAGGAATTAATGCCACAGTGCTCTGTGCCTCTGTAGCAGGGGCTGACAGTAATCCACCTCTGTGACTTCTGCCCTTTGTGTTTTCACAAAACTCGGCTCACTTGTAGCACGACAACAGCACGGAATAATGACTTTAACCTTCAAACATTCTTTAATTAGCTTTTTCAGCAGACGCAAAGATGCCCAAATGAGCCCTTTGACAAAAACTGACCCACGCCTTCCAATTCTACTTTCACTTTTGGGACTAAGACGTTATTGGTTCCCAACTCGTCTGAAGTCATCTAATAAGGGATTATTTAGGAACTATTACCCACACGCCAATTAAAGCCTCTCCGATGAAATTCGGGAGACAAAGATAAGCATCAAAACGGAAAATTAAACTATTTGCGCATAGCTTGTTTTTCAACAACCCATTTTCTATCTCAGGATAAACATCTTCGTGCCGGCTCGCCCCAGCCGAGCGGGGAGGGAGCGGGGAGCGGCGCTGAGGCGGCTCCGAGCGGCCCGGGGGCGGCGGCCGCGTTCCCTCCGCTCCCCGCACGGCCGCTCCGATCGCCTCCGGGCCTCTCCGGCCTCCCCGTGCCGCCCCCGGCCCCCAGGCCCCGCTGCCGGCGGATGGAGGCACTGCTCTGCCCGGGCTTAGCGCCCAGAGGGCAGCGGAGCGCACACGAGAGAACTGCTATCACTGCACCTCTAAGCGCGAAGGAAAGAAACACCAGTGGCATGAGAACCCGAACGTGCCAAAGTTGGGGAAATCGTGCAAGTGCTTTCCTAAACACTGGGCAACATTAGGGAAGAAAGTGCCGCTTCAATAGAAGAGGTATTTTGTTACTCACAGCGGTGAAGGAAAGGGATTAGCAGGAAAGGCGCGTTTCGCTACCTATAGAGGTGCTTTGGGTTAAATGGGAACCGGGCTCTGAGCAGTTTAATGCGGACTTAGCGAGGAAAGATGATTTTTTTTTCAGACAAAGCATCCCGATGGCTCAGAAATTATACGTCGTTCTTAACAGCTGCATACAGCTCTTGGAGAGAGTTTCCGAGCAAATTACAGCAGCGTCCTACAACAAGCTGACAAAGGGATTCCGGGAATGCCAAGCACCGAGGAGGGAAACACGAATCACTCTCTTTAGCCCGAAGCACGAAATTGGCTTAAAGCACATTTTGCTGATAGCCGGAAACGAAATGATCAGTGCGTGGGACCGGGAGGCTGCAACTTTCAGATGCGCGGGATCAACGTGTGCCACTTCCTCGGGGATGGGGGATAATCAAGAAGCAAAAAAGAAGGAAAACGGGTGAACCACTAGTTGGAAGGGCTCTGAGGGAAACTCACATCCCAACACGCCTTTCTCACCCCGCACGGCACCGATACACGTAAGCTGTGTCCCGAAACCGCTCCCACGGGACCGGGAATTGAATGTCACAGAAGCACAGAGTGGTATCATGCGCCGGATTTCGGCTTTCACAATTCACTTAAGACTCGAGAAAACAGAACGGAGCAAAGCACCCGCATCTAGCAGTACAGATGAAATAGCAGATAACTCCAAATTTCCGCAGCAGATCCCTATCTTATCTGGTAGCGGATCCCCGAGCGGTGAGGATTTGCCCAGGGGCGCTCTCCCTTAGAGGCGCTGAGCGACGCCCGACGCACCGCCGCGCCCGGGGAGCGAACAACTCCCGGAGCCGGGCCGCCCCGCCCGGGCCGAGCAGGGCCCCGCACCAACGAACATCTCGAACATCCCGGCACCAGGCGCGCTCTGCCCGCCGCCCGGCTGGAGAATGCGCGCTCCCGGCGCACACACGGACGCGCTCTGCTCGCCGCTGGCTCGGCTCGGGACGCCCACAGAGAACGCGCGGCCGTCCCGCAGCCGCTCCCCGCGCCCCGAAGGACGGGGATAGAGGTGCCCGAAAGGAGCCCGGGCCGCGGGGTCGCTCACTCGCGAGTCCTTTCACTGCGTTTCCCTCTTTTCACCAGGGAAAGTTCTCCGGTGCGATCGCTTCCATAAATTCTTGGCAGCACGCTTTCAACTAAAGCACGTTTGGGTTTTTCTGTCCCCAAAGCGTGCGGGGCAGCTCAGCGGAATTCACACCCGTCCTACGGACACACGGTCCTTCCAAAAGCTTCCCACCACCTCACGGTGCTAAAAGAACATCTGTGAAGTACCGAAGCAGTTTGTTTGTTTTGTCCTGGGATACGACAGTAAAAAGCCCGCTTAACTGCAAGCAAAGAACACGCAGTCTCCTGAGGAGCCGCAGGTTTGCAGGGCGGGCAGGCCCTTCGCTGTGCCGAAATGTACGTGTGAGCTTCAGATGTGTCTCCGAAATCTGGAGACTTTTCAGTTTTTTTCCCTCCCTGTGACTGCTCTAAGAGATCTGAAATTGTTCATTCATTATCTCAACACTGACTGCAATATTTTTGCTGCCAATTGCTGTGGATAGCTGCAGTGCCAAATACATCTTTACTGAAAGATGAGCACAGAGCAAAGGATGCATTTCTCCTGCAAAATATTCTGTTAGCACTTTGCTCACACATCTCAAGGACTCGACATCTTCCTTTTTTCAGTCCTCAGATGGCAACTTTCTCTGGAGTTGGGCTCCTTTCACGTTCTGAAGATGAATTTGTCACGGAACTTAGACTTGTCTGCAATAACTGACACCTTCCTGTGTATGAGATGGCAACGTATCACAAACAGATTGATGCTGAAAAGACTCTGGCAAATAACAACAGTAATTCAAAGCAATTTAAATAGTCAATGCGTGTATTTCTGCATACAGTAGGCACGTGCTTCACATACCTGTACATATGCTACACACTGTGACAGCACACAGTCTATATATGCATGGCACACGATAGCTGGCATTCAGAGGACTGGGGCTTTCTGCACACACACTTTCTGCATGTCTGTGGGATATGCATGTGTTCTTATATCCTAAGTCATAAGAGATCATTCTGAATGCTGAATTCTGAACATAGTGCTGTGAGTAAGGTGGCAATCCCACCTTTTCACAGTACCCCTGTCCCATTACACGCTCATTGCTGCTGTCAGCAGCCTGGGACTGTGAAGGGACAGAGCCAACCTTGGCAGGGGGCTTCCAGCAACACCCAGAGAACAGTTTCCTGGCACTGCGCTGCCTGGCACTTTGTCTGTCATCACTCACTTCAGCTGCAATGTCAATTTGGAGAGGTTATTTTCTCTGTGGCTTCTGTATGGTTTCAGGTAGGCCCTCATCATCACCACCTCATCACAGGGACAGCTGCTGATCTTTAACCCCATTCCCAACAGCCTGCTATGAGCAGTGACTAGGAGACTCCATGACTTAAGGAGGTATGATCAGTTTATGAGGAACCACCCAGACTTAGAGAGTCTCACTGCAGCCATCACAGGACTCGAGACAGCAATGAGGGTCCAAGGTGGGCCAGAACACACTGTGCTCAACACTGTGCTCCAAACGTGGGCAATGAGTATGAATCCCTCCATGCAATTTGAAACCCTCTGCCAGCGATACAGGGTAGCGGCTCTGGACAGGTCAAAAATCCAGCTGAGGGCTATTTAGGAGAATGTTAACAAATGAGGATATGCAGAAATGAGGGATATCTGCTTGCAGCAGGAAAAGGGCAAACAACTCACACTGCATCTGGCACAGAATGAAAAAGTGTACAACGGATTAGATATCAGCCACTTCTATCAAATCCATGCCCAGGAACCTAGGGGGAGGGAAACACGGAAGAGCAGATGCTTAGAAGGTAAAACACCCCAATTAACCTCATTATCTTTTACAAAACTGTACTATTAATATTCAGGGGTTTTCAAATTACTGTTGTTGTTGAAGAGAATCTGTTGACTGCAGCATGTGTTTTGTGTTTTGCTGTACTCTCCCAGATCAGCACTGCCCTTCTTA